CAAAAGAGCTATACAATTTTTTTCCTTTTTGATTTTTTACCTGGATTACTGAGATGCATCAGGACTTCCACTGCCACATCTGCCTTTCTGTCCTTGACACACATGCACAGTAGTGGTAACTGGGGTAGGCCGTGGATGTCACAAGACATTATACAGACAGGCTCTGGTATCATGGCTACCCAGCTACGGAGCTCAAAAGTGTGGGAACTTTTAAAGAAAATGAAAGAGAAACCTGTGCAATATCTGCAGAGCAGAACTTGTCTTCCACAGCAATTATTTTTAGTTAGCATATACAGTAGCTAAAATCTAACAATGATTATATAATAGCAGCTGCATTCTGGTGTGATAAGCTGTATGTTTTATATTCAATTAACGTATGATCCGATTAGTCGACTAATCGAATAAATAATCTGTGATTAATCGATTATTAAAATAATCGTTTGTGGCAGCCCTACCCCCAACACACACGCGTCCGCACTGGAGCCCCCCCAGAGCTTCGGCTTCAACCTCGGTTTACAGCTCATWTCCTGAATTTAGAAATCTTTCTTTTGTGCAATAGGCCTCAGGTCAAATAGACTTGTAAATAAAGATACAGTATATGGTGTAAACATTGAAAGAGTGAATGATTATAGAGTTCTTGGGGTCATTACTGCTGAAAAATAACATGGAAACCTCAAAGTAGATTTATACAAAATAAACTGTCAAAAAAGTCTTTATTTTAAATAAAGTCAAACTAAATTATTTATATACTGACTGCATCATAAACAATATACACTACATCATAAATAACTTTTTTAACCTTAGTAAAGTTCTAAATAAAGCATATTTCCCTCATTTAGATTGAAACAGGTTTGGTTGTTTATTTTAATTTGTTTTTGTTTTTTTTTGCTGTTACCCTATCCTAAATGAATCTATCTGTAATATTAAAAAAAAAACCAAATAAAATAATGAAGTTGTATCAGTTCTGGTCCACCTGAAATAACCAGAATGTGGTTCTCACAGGATGTATTGTGAATGACTCTCAGCTACTACCACATCAGACTTTAGCTGTAAAAGTGAGAGTTATTGTCATCTTTGTGWTAGCAGAGGTTGATTATCACTGACAGCCATCTTGAATCGCTTTGAGTCCAAGAGTTACTCAGTAAAACTATCCAGTGGTTCTTGAAATACACTGCTCAAAAAAATAAAGGGAACACTTAAACAACGCACGCTAAGTCCAAGTAAATCAAACTTTTGTGAAGCACATTCAACTCTGTACAGAACAAAGTACT